AGAACTACACAAAACAGAGACAAGTAATCTATTAGATGCAAAATTCCAAACACTGGTTATAAGGATGCTCAATGATCTCAGAGAGAACTTCAACAAAGAGATAGCAAACATAAAAACAGAGATAGGAAATATAAAAAAGAACCAGTCAGAAATAAAAAATACAATAACAGAAACAAAGAATACACTACAGGGAATTAACAGTAGAATAGATAAAGCAGAGGATCGAATCAATGATTTAGAAGATAAGGTAGCTGAAAACACCCAATCAGAACAGCAAAAAGAAAAAGAATCCAAAACTTGAGGGGAGTTTAAAGGGCCTCTGGGACAACATCAAGCATGCCAACATTTGCATTATAGGGGTTCCAGAAGCAGAAGAGAAAGAGCAAGGAATTGAAAACCTATTTGAAGAAATAATGACAGAAAACTTCCCTAATCTAGTGACGGAAATAGGTATACAAGCCCAGGTAGCACAGAGAGTCCCAAACAAGATGAACCCAAACAGGCTCACACTAAAACACATCATAATTAAAATGCCAAAGGTTAAAGACAAAGAGAAAAACTTAAAAGCAGCAAGAGAAAAGTAGTTAGTTACCTACAAAGGTGCTTCCATAAGACTATCAGCTGATTTCTCAACAGAAACTTTGCAGGTCAGAGGGATTGGCATAAAATATTCAACATGATAAAAAGAGTAATCAGGATTACTCTACCCAGCAAAGCTATCATTTAGAATCAAAGAACAGATATAAAGCTTCCCAGACAAGAAAAAACTGAAGGATTTCATCACCACCAAACCAGTATTATGAAGAAACTTAGAGGGACTTAAGATGAAAAAATAAAACATATTAATAATAAAATGGCAATACTTATCAACAATTACTTTTAATATAAGTGGCTTAAATGCTCCAATCAAAAGATAGGGGAGCTAAATGTATAAGAAAACAAGATCCTTACATATGCTGCTTACAAGAAACTCACTGCAGATTGAAAAACACACAGAGACTGAAAGTAAAGGGATGGAAAAAGATATTTCATGAAAATGGAAACCAACAGCAATACTTATACCAGACAAAATAGACTTTAAAACCAAGACTATAACAAGAGACTACAACAGAGAAGGACCTAGTAATCCCACTTCTGGGTCTTTATCTGAACAAACCCAAAATGCTACTTCAAGGGGACATGCTCATTCATATGTTCATTGCAGCATTGTTTACATAAGCCAATACATGAAGGCAACCTGGGTGTCCTTGAATGGATGAATGGATAAAGAAGAGGTGGTACATAAATACAATAGAATAGTACTCAGCCATAAAAAAGAAGGAAATCTTGTCGTCTGAGACAACATGGATGGACCTAGAAGGTATTGTGCTGAGTGTAGTAAGTCAGGCAGTGAAAGATAAATGTCATATAATTTCACTTATAAGTGGAATCTAAAGAACAAAATAAACAGATGAAATAGAAACAAACTCATAGGTACAGAGAACATTTTGATGGTTGCCCAATGGGAGGGGAGTTAGGGTAGGTGGAAGGGGAAGGGATTAAGAAGTACAAATTGGTTGTTACACAATGATCATGGGTGTATAGGGTATAGCATAAGTAATATAGTCAATAATATTGTAATAACTATGTATGGTGTCAGAAGGGTACTAGATCTATCAGGGTGCTAGATGGGAGGGTGATTGGTTGCAGGGTGAGAAAGGTGAAGGGATTAAGAAATACAAACTAGTAGTCACAGAATAGTCATGGGGATGTAAAATATAGGGACTATAATCAATAATATGGTAATAACTATGTATAGTGCCAGGTGGGTACTAGTCAGGGGGATCACTTCCTAAATTATATAAATGTCTAACCACTATGTTGTACACTTGAAAATAATATAAAATAATATTGAACGCCAACTCTAATTGAAAAATTTAAAAGGTGGGGAAAGATAAAGAAGAATAAGAGGTTCAAATTTCCAGATGTAAAGTCAGTCAGTCTTGGGGATGTAATATACAGCGTAGGAAATATAGTCAATAATATTGTAATAGCATGGTACAGTGTCAGATGGTTGCTGGACTTCTCATGGTGATCATTCTTTAGCATAAGGAATATAATCATGTTGTAATAAGTGTATAGTGCCAGGTGGGTACTGTTAAATAACTATGATGTACACCTAAAACTAATATAATATTGTATGTTAGCTATATTTTAATAAAAATCTTTAAAAAAATTGGCAGTTACAAAATAGTCCCTGGGATGTAAAGTACAGCATAGGGAATGTAGTCAACAACACTGTAATAACTATGGATAGTGCCAGGTTAGTACTAGACTGATCTGGGGAATCGCCTCATGAATTATAAGTCTAACCACTACATTGTACACCTGAAACTAATACAAAATAATATTGAACGTCAACTATAATTGAAAAGGAAAAATGAGGGTTTCCCCATCAAAGGTTCCTAGAGGGTTAAACTAAAAATGAGAAAAGGAAGCTTTCTCGGTATCTGGGAACCCACTTGTGTGGAGGTAGGCACTGGAGGAAGCAGGGTGGAAGGGGTTTGAGGATCAGCTGGGGGGTCACCAGCCTGGCCTGAGAGGACAGCTTTTCCCATGATGCAACTGGTGTTACCCAGAGACATACCCTCCACTCCAGGACCAGGAGCAGACTCAAAGACTGTCCCTAGCTATGAGTGGCAAAGGGCGGATACTGGGAGGCATTGCTGGGACCACATTGCAACTCTGCTCCCAAGGAGACACTGGAGAGGACGGTCCTGCCCCAGAGCTGCCCTGAATACTTGTGGCCTTTCTGGGAGTTCCTGAGGACAGAGGTAAGGCTGGGGAGCCTCCAGTATCCAGGAGGCTCAGGAGGACAAGGTAAGAGACCACCAAGAGAAGAGCTAAGCCGCTGATGTCTGGGGCACTCTAAAACATCACTAGTGTTATCTTTGGGATTAGGATGATGAGTGAACTTTTTT